CAGCCACAAGAGCGACTCTGTGGACGTGGGGATTCTCGCCGCGACGGGGCGGTTTAGACAGATGCCACCAGAACGCATCCCTCGAAAAGCCTTTTCCCAATGCAGGGTACACATGGCAACCCGAGGCACGCTTCCGAGAGAGCACCGTCATCGTGATCCCAGACCAAACAAGCAGTTCAAACATGAAACGACATCAAAAACTCACGCGAAAGACTAAAGGAAGTTTCACGCCGCTCCTGAGATCGAGGGCCGCGAACTGCCACCAAAGAGGAGTCGCTGAGAGCCGTGTCTGGAGTCAGCTCCTGGAGAAGACGACGTTTCATGTGAAATGATTTCAACAAACCGTTTCTGTTGGCTCATTTTTCAATCCCTTCGTGCCTCCAACTGGGGACAGGCACCCCGTGAGCGCGACGATCCCTTCCGGCTTCAGGTGGCAGTGGCACCCATCGATGTGGAAGGGCGATCCTGCAAACAGAATTCAGTAAGCAATGCTCCTCAATGGGAACGAGGATGGCTGCTGCGCTTTGGCAGCGTGCTCGAGAGTGAGCACTGGCTGATGACCTGAGTCGTTTCGCGTTCACAGTCGCTCGCATGATTGCAAAACTGCTCGCAACAATCACTTATCAAATCAACCGTCATCTTGTACGCGCGGTAGCCGTCGCAATGAACGTTTCCCCCCAAAGTCAGATCAGCTTTCACTCCCCCCACAGTCAGAGCAGCTTTCACTCGTGTCCCGTTGCGCCTCATGGAATCCAATGGCTCGACATCGTTTCTCAGCGTTTCAATTCCACTCCGTTTCCCCTAAACTCTGATGAACTTTCGTGGTGTCCATGTGCGATGTCACGACGGTCGCTTCACTTCCTTTTGCGGGATCGAATTTTGCGTTGCCGCAGACTCTAAATCACCAAGCCACAGAGGGGTCGGCAGATTCAACCATCTCAACCACCGTCGCAACAGCAACTAATAACAAGTTCCGGCGCAAGGCTCATCAGCTGAACAGTTATCAAGCCAGAGCAGCTATTATTTCACGACGCTTGGACCGCTCTCAACTGGCTTCCAGCCTTCAAAGAAGGGATCATCCTGGCGGATCGTTGCCACTAGTTGTAAATCTCTTGGTTGGACCTCAGTCCTGCCATTGAATTCGGCGCAGACATTTGCATCTGCAAAGACCTGCGTCATGGCTGCAGCTGCAGCTGCGTTCAACACTTCCTTCCTTCCATCCTTCCTTTCTTCCTTGCTTGCTTGCTTCTTTCTTTCTTCATCTTCCCTTTCCTTCCCTTCCCTTCTCTTTCCTTGCCTTTCCTTTCCTCTCCTGTCCTTTCCGCTCCGTTCTCTTCCTCTCTTTCTTCCTTCCTTCCTTCCTTCCTGTCTTTCTTTCTTTTTTCTTTCTTTCTTTGATGCAGTAAAAAGGGTTTTTGATTCGGACAACATTTTCTTGATCCGGAATGTTTGTTGACCCCTCTCGCCACTTTGGTTCGTCCAGGACTCCGGTCCGGACAATTTGGTAAATCGCGCTTTCATGCAGCGACGACGCTCCTGCTTCGTGAGCGTGCCGCGACGCGTATTCGCCGCATCGATTGCGTTATCCATTGGACGCCCTACGGGTCCTGCCATCACGGAAGTTTCCGCTTGTCTTCACTGCATCTTTGTCAGCTCCGCTCTCAACACAAATTTTCAAGCCAAAGCGATTGTCTCACCTGAATTTTGCGTTGCGAGCTCGGTTTCCAGTTTCCCCTCCAGTTTGCGCTGCTGAAAAGAAACTCGCCAAGGCACTTCCATGTGCTGGATTCTCTGTACCCGCTGCTGCGATCACTTCTGCCGGCGCCCTGAAATTGATACGAAAGTATCTCACGCAACAGCTGGCAAAACGCCTGCCAACAAAAACACTGACCACTGCATCAAAAACCCAGCTTACACTCCAACCTCCTGAGCTTCTTCGACTCCTTGGTCGATGCCAGCCCTTCACCATGTCCTCAGCAGATGCTGCAATGGCAACATGTCAGCAACCCAGCAGGAACAGGCGACATGAAGTTTGGCTGAACGTTGCCAAGCTGCAGGCCACAAAGTTTCCGGCGTTGGAAGCCCGTTTGCAGAAGGTCGCGCTAGAGAACCAGCTGCGGCAAAGCCAGCGCCCCTAAAGCTTCACACCCAGTTCTTGCAACTAGCCACCCAACACACACAAACACGCGCACGCACACAAACACACACACACAGATGATTTTGTGCACTGAACTGAAAGCGGTTGCCACACGCCGGCCTAAGCGAAAAACCTAAGAGTCCAGGTAATAACCACGATAGACTATAGACCTAAAGCTCCTTCAAGCTCAAGTGAAAACCGATGAGCACGGATCGACAGGCTAACCGATGAGCACGGATCGACAGGCTGACGGCGTTCGCTCACAACTGCGGAATGCATTAGCTCTTTACTGAAAAGTAGGGTCACAGCTCGTTCAAAAGTTCAAACCATCGCAGGTACAAGTCTGTGCGTCCACAGACTCATCCACCCATTTCTCTAGCTTCGTTGGCTAGCGTCGAGAAATGGGCCGCTAGCCCCCTGCAACTAAAAGGTTCAAGATCAGAATCCTACAGGATCCCTCCGCGCGCGCACACCAAGAAGCCTGCTCATTCGGTCCCACCCCACTCTTTTCAACGAGACGCTCCAGACTCCCCAGGCAGCGTTCTCAATCCAACCGCCCCTTAAAGGTCGCAGGACACCACCCACAATTTGCCGGCTTTAAAACATTGATCCTTTATGTGCGAGTCGGGAAAAAGTTCATCACCGCAATCCCCGCCCGATTCAAATTGAAAACCTACTTGAGCCCCCCCAAAAAAGCACTCCGTGCTTTGGAGCTGCCCTCTTTCAAAAAAAGGACATTGACGACAGTCTCGCATTTGGGCAACTTTCACTTTGATCTTTGACGGCAGGGACGGGAGAGGGAGGGGAGAGGGAGACCAAGAGGGAGAGGGAGACGAGGCGCCTCCCTACTTACAGTAAAGTAAAGTTATCTACGCTTATTTGGACAGTCAACTCCTTCCCTGGGCTCCGTGGCAGCCTCGGGCTCCTTGGTGACTTCTTTGGGAGAAGTATCGGCAGCCTGACAGGGATGTGGGGTCAAAAACTAACTTCTTAGAGCTGAAAGCAGGGCCCAGGGTAGTTGAAGAGCTTTCAACTGCAAATGGGTGATGTTCATCTGCCGCAGTTTTTTTGTTTGGGGGGGTTCTTCTATAAGACTGGCGGTCTGAAGAGCATTTATGGAGATCACATGTATAAGCAGCAAAAGTCGCAATCAAACACTCATGGATTGTTGTGGCGTCAACAACCCATGGGCAAACAAACCTGCTTACTGAGTCACCACATCATAAATCACAAGCCATAGGACACATTTTGCCACATCACAAGCTGGAAAAGGAAACAAGTTGCGCGGCATAGTAGTGCTGAATACATTGTTGCTTCTTTAGTTTTCCCTACCACCGCTCAATGAAACAACTTTGGGACAATTCCTTTAAAACGCAATGGTGCTAGATATACCCCTTTTTCCCTTTTGCTTTTCTAGCATTTTCTGAATACCAACTGGCATAAACTGGTGCATGAACTGGGAGTTGGGCGGTTTATGCTGCAGCTTGTCCATCAATAAACATCAATGGTCCTCCGATAGTGCTGCCTTAGTCCTTTGCCTATTTGATCTTATTTGGATGTTTTTGACATTTTTGACAGCCAAGCTATTTGAGACCAACGCTGCTCTCATTGCAATGAGAGGCGAACCCCTGTATGCATCTGGGGAGATATTCCAACATGAATCTCAGAGAATTCCTGCTGCTGAATCGTGTACGGGACCGGTTTTGCTTACAGGTCGTGTTCAACCCCTTGGCTGATCTTGGCAAGCGTAAGAAGTGTGCTGGAATTGTTTAACACCACAGTCAGTGGAGTTGGCATGGTGTAGCAGCCAACAAGTCTGGATTTCGATCAAATGGCTACCCAGTGTAGTACAGCAGTAGCTAGATTCGGAAAGGCTGGTTCAGCTAATCATTTCGGGAGGTCAAAACAGAACATATCCAACATTGTGCCGACCTGCTCTAGCTGTGGAAGCCACGCATTTTCAGGCATGCGCAGCCAACCGCATGAAGTCGCGCAGCCAAAGTCTCCAAACAAATTCATCGAAAAGAGAACCACTGTGCCATGCAGTAACAGCCGGTTGAAGACTGAACAAGTGATCAACCACATGGTTTTGCTTCTTTCCTCGCTGCCTTCGGTCATTGAAGTAGTCCCTAAATAGACAGTAAAACCTACACCTTTTTAGTGGGGATCTATCTATATATATATATTTCAATCTATTTGGGGCTTTAAACAACACAAACAACATTGTTCCGCAGCTGAGCAAGGCGGCAGGCTTGTGGGCATTGAGCAGTAGGATTTTCACATGCCATCTCGTTTGTGACCGCCAAGCTCTATGGAGTTCGGAGCTGGCGTCAACCGCCCCCCCTTCCAGCTTGCGGAGTTGGGAATTCTTTGATTGGGAAGATGAGTATTCTGGATTCCACGTAGAACCAGGAGATGATATATGTCCCGTTAGATCAACATATACTGCAAGGTTTTTGGACCTGGCTCACCTGAAAATTGAAATCCCTTCTCAAAAAGTTTGCCTTTTCATTCGAGCCGGTCATTGGTGTACATGGTCCTACCGCTCAGTTCCCAGAAACACAGTCCACCCAGTCCCGACGGGTCTTTAGTTGGAACAACACCAGGATGTTCGGTGTAAATATTGGATACTATCAATTATATATACACATATATATATATACAATTAGACACATGTGTCTAACATTGCCTAACTGTTTGATACAAGTAAGAAAGAACCCACAGCTAAAAACCCAGCGTTTAAAGCATCATGTTCAAACATTTCACACCCGATATGGGGCTCCCAACCTTTTCACTTCCTCATTGATGCCCTCCTTCAACCCGCCTCTGTCACCGGCGCTGTCTCCTCCGTC